TTGGCCTTTTCATCGATCATGCCCGTGACGCATTTGTACATGAACTTGACCCCCTCAATCTGATGTGGTCGTAGTACCTTAGCAAGCCTCGGGTCAATGACGACGGGCACTCTGGGATGTTCTCCTTCGACTTTCTTCTTGATACCGAGGATCTCAGATAAGCTCTTGTGGACGAGGGGTTCGTCTATCTTTGCCTCAGGCTCCGCATCTTTGGCCTTCTCTGCCATGGGGACTTCCTTGGGTCTATCGTCGACAGTCGGATCATGCAGAACAATAGCAAACTCTCCGCTAGGATCATGCAACGGTTTAACCACGAAGACGGCGCCTTGCCTTAAGCCTAGTGTAGGTGGCGGTCGATTTGGATTGTAGGCTCCAGTGTTCTTGTTGATGAAAGGAACGGCGAAGGCTTTTCTAAAGACCTTGTCCTTCTCCTTTGCCTGAAAGACTGGAAAACGGTTGGCGTCACGGTTGGCAAGAGCTAAACGATCTGCATTCGTGTACGGTTTGTCGGTCGAGTCTTCATCGCCATCCGCACCTCCATAGTCAACCTTTCGCTTCTTTCGAACTGGTCGATCGACAGCTGGACTCCGTGTCGCGGATCCAGGGCATCTGAAAGGCTTGTGTAGTCGCTCGACCGAATCCGTCGGGCGGTACCGAGGGCCTGCAGGATGTCCTTTCTTCGCCAGCGGGGTGGAAACTGAGGCAGCCCTATAATGTGTATCAGTAACCGCTTCAATATGAATATGGATCGGGCATTGAAGTTATCGCGTACATTCTGACAGCGTCCTTGCACGTTTCGATGCAGCACAAAAGCCTTCACGAAAGGTGAATTGGACGACAGCCGAGCTTTTGCCACTTGTTGTAAGAGATAACTTAGGTATAGTACGTGCGGGTGGCAAATGGGATGGATGGCCTTGTTGACTTTGGAAAGCGCGACACGCGACGGTCCTCAACAGGCGATTGACACGCAGTCACATGACCCCGGAAACTGGCAGTGGCAGTGGCAGTGGCAGTGGCAGGCAGGGTCTCGATTAGCTACTTCAGTAATAACTTGAAGCTTCATTCAGCTTTGGCAAGCACCGACCGGACCCAAATTGCGTGCTGATAAGTATCCGGTCATGCTGTTGCAACGTAGATGGGTACCGTATACCAAGGCCAGGGAAATTTCACTACTTGCACCGGCGCTGTACTACACTGCACTGCACAAACGGGCACCGGCAGCGTCGTTCATTCTTGTCACTAGACCCGATGAGAACGTCCCCCACTAAGCAATACCTCGGGCTGCTGCCAATGCCCCTCACCATGGAGGGGCAGCGTATTGAATGCTCTTGACATGTCACCCCTTGCGGACTAATGAAGCACTCACCCTTTTTGCACGAATGGCCAATGTAGTGATACTTGAAGTAGTCATTGAGCTAATTGCCAATCCATTGAACCTTTGATCAGGAACACCGACTGGTATTCCTACCAAGTACAGATACCGCCTCGTAGCCCTGTCTCGTTTGCGCAATAAGGGCCGTACACTATACGACGGTGCAGCTCGAGAGCGATTTTTGGACTTGAAGCTATATTTTGGAAGATCCTTAACGAGACGATCCCCCACCCGACATTGCCAGGACTTCTCCAATGTCCGCCGACTTTTGGGCCGGCTACCTTAGCGGAGCCGTGGGTATTCTCATTGGTAATCCACTGGACTTGATCAAAGTACGACTGCAGGCCAAAGACGCGATTGGCAGTCAGACAGCAACATCTCTTGCCCGACAATTCGAGGGCGCTTCGTCGTTGATAACGGGGACAGCTGCTCCTGTTCTGGGGTATGGCGCCCTGAACGCCTTGCTATTCGTCTCGTATAATCGCAGCGAGGCGGCAATCAACAAGACATTTTCCCTGCTGCCAAACCTTTGGACGGCATGGATTGCTGGTGCTATTGGTGGCCTGGCGACTTGGGTGGTCAGTACACCCACCGAGTTGATCAAATGCCGTGCACAGCTTGCATCGCCCCCGGCGTCGAGTTGGAATATTGCGAGGAAGGTTGTTCGAAGTGAAGGAGTGAGAGGACTGTACTTTGGTGGTGTTGTGACAGCCCTGAGAGATAGTATTGGGTACGGCTTCTATTTCTGGTCATATGAGTTGAGTACTCAATTCATGGCATCGGCCACGCGGGATGAATCACCCACGCAAAATGCCGCCAGAGTCCTTTTGTGTGGGGGATTGGCCGGCGTCGTGACGTGGGCGAGTATATTTCCTCTGGATGTCATAAAGACTCGAGTTCAGGCACAGACCTTTGCATCCGACACGAGACCTCTATTGGAAAGCCCAATTCGACCATATCGACGTCTAGGCGCTGTCGATATGGCTAAGGAAGCATATAAAGAAGGCGGGGCACGAGTGTTTTTCAGAGGTTTGACCATCTGTAGCATCCGCGCTTTCATCGTGAATGCGGTCCAATGGGCTGTGTACGAGTGGATGATGTATGAACTCGGACGAAGCAAGCGTAGAGCCGTAGAGCCAGCACAATAGCATAATAGGAATAGAAGAACCATGCTACCCGGGGGTTATCCAGGTTCTCGTGGCACATCGCCCTATGCGGGTGATACAGCTATCAGGGTACTAGCAGTTCGTACACAAATAGATATCCATACCGCACCTCCGCATAGGGTGACTAGCTGGATCGATCAATCGTCGAGAGGTGGACATTCGTGATTGCGCCCGATGGTCTCGCTGCCTAAATTGAATCCCGGGTTGAACCTGCTGGGAATCCTTGAGCCTCCAAGAAGATTGCGATATCGTCAATTCCCTGTGGTGTATTGAGCTGGTGGCCCCCTTCCGGATATTCTCTCGATATGCCTTGGATACCAAACGTGGCTAGAGCATGTCCCAACTGCCTCCCATAGTCGACGAACACCAGGGGATCATCAACGCAGTGTGCTAAGAACACGGGGGTATTCCGTAAAATCTCATCACTTGGTGAACCTCCAAGACCGAGGACTTCCCTGGTTTCCTCAAGCGTTCCGCCAGGGAACGGAAGCCGACAGCTAAATCCCATAAGACCGGCAAGCCGTTGTGGTTTTGAAGACTTGTTAGGCCTAAAAGGTGGTAGGTTCAGTACGGCATGCATCGCCGTAGCGCCGCCTTGACTAAAGCCGGCCAATACGATCTTGTCTAGGCCTCCGACCTGTTGCGCCTCCTGCCGGATGAGCCTGATCACATTCTTGACGCTATCGTGCAGGCCAGGTACCTGCAGCTCTTCGCGGTCCATGAAGTCTAAAGTATTCCAGACGTCGAACCATTGCGACCAGTCCTGATCGTCCCTTTCACAGTACAGCAGGTCCGCTTGCGGGAACACCCAGCGCACGGAGGGGAAGGCGTCATTGAGAGATCGCTTTGACGAGTCTTTGAGCAAGAAGAGGTTCTCTGCAAGATCTTGCGCTGTATCTCCGCGACCGTGAAGGAAGATGACGGTATGCGTATGTGCATGCTTCTCGTCGGGGAGGACGATTGAGCGAGCTAAATCCATGCCTAAAGATGTGCCTTGTTGTAGGTCACCTAGACGCTGAATCGTCCCGAAGGTTGGTAGAACGGCTGTACGGAGGAGAAACAGAAGCTAAGCAACAATGAGAATTGATGTGTTTCTGATCGCCGTTTAGGAGTTCGCCCTTGGACCTCATGAGTCGCAGGTGAGAACTTAGCGAAGCATGACGTTAGCCAAGAAATGTCTGCACGGAGATTGATATGAGCCAGGCATCAAATAAATTCGTGACTTATTGGCAACTGGATGGAAGAGTCGAGGGTAAACTCAACATCGGTATGAATCCACGCCTTTGACTGTGAACGAAGGTACAGAGAGGTGTGTAACATCGCAGCCACGTCATGCGATAGGAGTGTTGATCCTGTCCCCGTTTAGAAGCCATTAGCGCTATGAACTCGACCCACCCTGATACACTGGCTTTCAATGTCAAGTCAACACTAATACCACCTCAGCGGGCTTCATGTAATCCTTTGTTCATCAATTGGAAAATAGGAAGATGATTCTCAGGCTTATATTATTCGCATGTCGATAGGTGACTGCGACTTCATAAGATGCCCACTATACTCCATCAGTTGGGCCTTACTTTTGCCGCAATGGCCCTCGATGATATACCTTCCAGCACTTCTCGGACAATTCGACATCGCGTACTGAGTCTGAAGCCCTGCAAAGGTCGAAGGACAAAAGCTGAAGAGTTCTATAGTCCAACTTTGAAAGATCGCTCGAACCATTTACGACATTCTTCCGAGGTGTCTAAGAAGTGTCCGAGCGGCAGCGATTCACCGTTCTTGATACATTTATTAAGTGGACATGAAACTCATATAAAGTTGGTACGACGTGCTTTATTTGATATCACGGAGCTGTTACGTAGTGGCTCTGAGGTATATGTTCGAACTTTGCGAATGCCATAGGTATAGCGTTGAAAATGTGGCTAGAATCTAGGTAGGCTAGGTATCTAGCAGTATCTAACTCTTTAATTCATCCAAGTCAAATTAAACTTGAGTCTTTGCTTGGGGCCGCCCCTGAGTGAAGGTGGACAGGTCGTCTTTTCTCAGGCAAAATAGTGAACCTAACGACGGTGATTGTAAGCAGAAGTCACTTCGAAATCAGACTTTTACAACTATTGATTGGTATTCTAGGGCTAGTGCAAAGGCGTGTACTACTCCTCCATTACCTTTGCACTGGTATATTTGCTGGTAAAGTCATGGTGTTTCACGTGCTTGCTGTACAGCACCTCTCTATTGGTTTCTAACCGAGTTTTCTGTGTTATTTTAAGAGGCGTAGTGACGAGATCACGGAATCGGCAGCCCCACACATTTTTACTTCCGTGCTGAAAGACAAGGATGCCGTCGTGTGTAGTCCGAGACCGGGAGACTAGAGAGTTTGTCGGTATATAAATCAGCTGCACAAGCTCATTCTCCAAGAAATACGAAGCACTTGCTCGAATACTGCCTCGCTTAAAGTCCAAAACAATGGCGTTGTGGCGGAGTGGTTATCGCGATAGACTAGAATGGCGAATTCTGTGATCTATTTCCTTCGGGAGCGTAGGTTCGAATCCTGCCAACGTCGGGGCTTTTTGCATGTTTCTATGAATCGTTGTTGTTGCTTTCTTTCGACTCTAGAGCCGTTCTCATTTTCCTCTTTCCAAAACATATGTTATGGTGCTGCAGCAGACCTCTGCTGCTCCGATGGAGGGGAAGTGGGAACTACAGTAGCTTCGATAAAGTAGCTAAACCAGATACAGTATGTGGCAAGAGATATAAGCCCGACTATCTGTACCGCCAAGCCCACATAACCCAATTCGTATGGAAAGACATTATTGTTTTGATATTATTCCCAACGTTATGGGCAGAAGCAAAGAGTTATCGCCTCAAATAGGGTGTCGAATTTGCGGATCACGCTCTACAGGCGATGGAGCAACGAAGATTCACTGGCTACATTCCCGTCAGCACAATCAAAACGACTACCGTCTCGAACGCCTCCGTCAAAATAATCTATCACGCTCGCGATTTGGGCGCCTTGAAAGCTTCCTGAAGATTGCGACCGGACCTACAATATCAGTCACCCACGGAGACCCTTCGATCAGACACCAAGATCACTTCCCCGCCGTCTATGATAAAATCAAAGCACGGCCCCTCCGATACATATGTACTTCGCGAGATGGGTAAACGTAGATAGTTCTAAAAACAAAGACCAATAAAACCAATAACAAAAGTTATTAGCTAACCACTTAAAGCCCCCTTTTCTTCCTTTCTTACTTGATGATTATTCATTCGTGCTGGGTCTGATGGATGGGCTACAATCCGACGACATCATGAACGATGAAGATATCGTGAGTTGGGAAGAAGCCACAATCATCCATTCAGTAGGCGTGGCTACTTCCTACGAGTTCTGTCATCTTCATTTCTTTTTGTGGTATCAATGGAAAGCAGAAGGGAGCATCCATCACTATGAAACCCTGCTATTACGCCGCTTCTCTTCCATGGCCTTAGGAATTGGGAGGAAAGGGACAAGAGCGATGTCAAGGGCACACGGATTCTGGATGTTCGACCGAGAACGACTACGGAGGGCGGCAGGATTCTTTTCAAATTTCCAAGCAGCTCATCAACGTGGAGTCTGAATGGAAGGCTACAAGGACGTTGTTTAGTAGCAGAGGTACTCGCACAAGGAACGTCAGCACATTTGACATTCACCGGATTACACAGAGTCAGTAACCCAAACCGCAGTGTCTAGCGCATGTTTTTCAGTCAAGTCCAAGTCAGAAATCAAGCAACGTTTCGAGGCACGGCGGTGCGACCCTTTTTATTTAGGCCGGTCAAAGTAAAAGTATTCTGGTATCATGAATCTCTCAACCTAGTTCGTTACGTTCTCTCTTCCATCATGTGTGGGTGAGCGCTTGGTCGCTATGACGCACTCTGCAGCGCATTCAACCCATTGCGTTCACTACGTCCTTCAAGCCCTTTCAAAAAACAAGAGTCTACGTTTTGCCCTAGCCAAGCACTCCGTCGCAACCGGGTCTACCGGATCTTTCGTACCCCACCGTTCCTACGAGAAGTAACGCGTGATGATCTGCTGAGACTCGGGAGAAAATTGGTGTAGGAGCGTTTGCGCATCCGCGCCCGATGCTTGCATCAAGGCCTTGGTAGCGCCCACGACTTTCTGTGCTACTTCGCCGGTGCCGAGCATATCGGCCTCAAGCGCCTGCGCAACGTATACAAAGACTTTGTCGGCCTGGCCCATGACGGCAGGATTTTGCCTACAAGGAAAGGGTCAGCATATACCAAGCACGCATGAATCACGTGCGATAGATGACTTACTGCTGGATCAAGGTGACCAGGTATCCATATGCAAACGGCGCTGCCTCTTCATCATTAGTAACGGGTAGCGTGTTGATCCATTGGGCAACCACATTTTGCGGGTCCTGCACATTTGCGTTGTTAAAGTGGAGGATCTTGGCGATGGCTGCGCATGCGTTCTCAGTCGCGTACACGGCGTCGTCACCACGTGCGTCGGGTACTTGCGTCACTTGGAATAGATACGGTATTGAGCCACCGAGAAACTGAGACCATGCTGCACCTGCACGGTGGGCCGCAACACCGATGCCATATGCCGCGGCTTGGCGAATAGCCGCCGACGGGTCCTGGCAACCGTCGACTAGAGGCTTCTGAATGTAGTTGGCATATTGCATGCTTTCCGGACCGCAGTATTCGAGGACGTCGTCCATTATGCACAAACCCCATTGGCGTTGAGTAGGATCTGACGAGGCGAGGAATCCCTCGTAGATTGATAGGAGTCGCTCCCAATGTCGTAGGAAAATAGCACCATGGTTCTTGAAGATGGCATGGAACGCCTTGTTCATATCAGAGAGTAGGGTCTGGTCATCTTCTATAGCAAGAAGGAGGTCCTCCGCTTCATCTTCGGCGTCCTCAGCTGTGGTGCCTTCTTTGTCTTCCTCGCGCTGGGCTACACGGTCCTTGTAGTCCTCGATCGCGGACATGACTCCATCTATGAACTTCTGCATGTGTGTCTCCGTCAGGCTGTCTTTGCCTATTACTTCAACGGACTCGTAGAAGCACTGATACATCTCGGCCAGAGCATCGATTGCAGGTTCCGCCGTGAGCACCTCCAACAACTTATCGACTGTACTCAACCACAGCTCGCGGAGCTCATTCGACTGAGGACCATAAGCCTTCTTATATGAGCTGAGAAGCTGAGGCACAAGCTTCGCCGAGATGAACCTGACAGGATCGTGGAAAAAGAATGCCAGTCCCGGCACAGCTATCTTTTCCATGGTGTCTTTGACGTACGGCGCAAAGGCCGCCTCCAGTGTTTGTGCGTAGACGACAAGGAGTTCGATGGCCATGTGCTTGTCGTCCATGGTACTCGTCCGGATACCAATCATCTTACCCTTCAACGGAACCAGCTCCCAACCATCCTCTTGTTGAATCTGCTCAACCTGGTCATCATCGTCCAAGAGCTGAATGTCAGCCTTGGCACTAGCCAGCTCGACCAAAGGAGGCATGACGTTGGGCAGGAATGGCAGGAAGTCGGGACCCATGACTCGGCACATGCGACCCCAGCAGTGCATGAGATACTGGGATTGGGGGTCATCGGAATCTGTGATGCTGTTCTGCACTGTGGCTAGTATCTGCACAAGGGTCATTGAATCGTTACCCAACCGCTCCTTTCCGACAGCTAAGGCGATCAAGGTCGCGCACTCCATGGCCTTGGCGCGAAGCAGTCGGTATTCCTTCGCGTTCTCTCCGCGCAGGACATTGAGTAGTAGCGGCATCAGCGTATCGTAGTACTTGGAGAAGGCAGCTTCAGCAGCATCGGCGATGGTTGCAATGGTGGACAATGCTTGCTCTTGCACATAGCGCTTCTCGTTCTGAAGCAGCTGGAATAGATGGGACAGTAGGTCATCAAGGTAGGGTTCGAGGGTATTCTTCTCAGCTTCCTCGCAGAAGTTGACCAATGCGGCGGCAGCGTGAGCCTGGACACGGGCCTCGGGTGATGTGAGAACCGGAATAATGGCCTTCAGGATGGTGTCGTAATGATCCTTTTGCATGGTAGGTGCAAAGTCGGTACTCATCTGGCCAAGAGCCTGGCAACCTGCCCAACGGACTCGAGGATGGGCGTCCTTGAGGGCGGGCACAACCAGATTGAGGACTTGACTAAGCTCCTTGATCATCAACTCGCGACAGCCCTCGGAGATTGCAGAGATAGCCATGAGGGCTGCATGGCGATCGCGCCATGCCGTGGAAATCATCATCCTGGGTAGCCAGTTGAAGGTGGGGGCCAGGATGATCTCGCCGCCCAACTTGTTGGCTAATCGGTCCATGCACTGCTCACCAGCAACATGATTCAAATCGCTCTCTTCCGAGTCGAACTGCGTGCCGTATTAGTATACCTGAAAGTTGGGAATGTCGGCATACAAGGGCTCACGTCTTCTGAAGACAGCCAGTCGGCTGCATCGTCATCATCTTCACCCAAGTCTGTCATCAAGCTTAAACACTGTGTGATCATATCGGTGGTGTATGACGTATCTTTCCGACACATCGATGGCGCATAGTCAGCGAACGTCGCCATAAGTTCGAGTGCGTTTTGGCGGCAGAGGTCGGTAAGCTTGTTGTCCTGAATGACACCGACACTGAACACGACCAAGTTATTGAAGAGTGGCTTGAACATCTTGGGGCAGGTCTCAGCCAGGTCGATCAGGGCTACCATGGCTTTGCTCAGGTCATCCGAGTCGTGGGAGTCCTTGATGGGCGGGAGGATGTTGAGGACTTCGGGTAGTAAGCCAAAGTACTTGGATTGGGACTTCTTTGCCAAGCTTCTAAAGAAGGCAGCAAAGGCCTCCATAGCAGCCAGTCGCACACCAACAGTCTCGTCCTTGAAGCCGCGGTTGAAAGCCTCCATGACGGCATTTTCATGTTGCTTCTCTATTATGCCAGGTGTGGTTGCAAAGACACGATATGCCGTCTCGCGCTTGCCAGCATCTGGGGCCATGCTCAGGTTGAAGAGCACGCCTAATATCTCAGGCCATGTGTCATTGTTTTCCGAGTACTGTCGGGCGACATCAGCCACGGCATCGCTGATCTTGTTCCTTACATTGCGGTCGGTCTCGTTGGCCAGGTTTTCCAGCAGCTTCTGGCGAATTGTGATGGCATGCTCCGGACTCAAGGTCACAAACATCTCGGCCGTCTCGCCCTTCTCATTCTTGCGACTCTTGGAGGCTATTCGGCGAAAGATGACTGCGGCGAAAGTGCGTAGCTATTCGTAGCGCGGCAGAGTTAGTTCTGCGTAAATTCGTTCGTTTGACGGATAGTAAAGAAAGGTTATGATGGCAAGGCGAGACGACATACCGAGGCTTCACTTGAGTTAGCTATCTGTTCAGCCAGGCCCATCAGCAACACCTCTGGTCGCGTGGCAGTCCAGTTGTTGGTGAGATGTTCTTCGGCCTGAGATCGAACATTGTTCTCTGGGGACTGCAGAGCTTGGAGGAGCTGGCCTAGCTCGGTGTGGATTTCGGGTGGCAGCATCGACATTTTGACGATGATTTCGCAACG